TTCTAGTTGCTGCACGTGGGACTCGGCCTCAGGATGAACGGAGAAGTGGTGCCTCGATGCGCACCCGGGATCCGAACCCGGGCCACCAGCATCGCAGTGCGCGCACTTAACCACCAAGCCACAGGGCCGGCCCCTTAAATATTTCTTGAATGAATGACTTATGCACATTACGGTAAAAAATGCAGTATAAGTGGAATCCAGTTGAAGATTCCTTAAAAAATTAAGTGGGTAAGGTATCCTTTTGAGGTGTGGAGTAGGGAAGGCCCCATATTTGTTGTTTTGGGAGAGAACAGGAATCTTAGAACTCAAATATTTGGATCTGTAGCCTGTTCTTTTTCAGCCTCTTTATCACTTCTTTTCCCTTATCCTGGAGGAGAACAGGCACTTTGTCTTTGTGGAAATAGCACGTCACATCAAATATTAAGTTTGCTAGAAATTTTGCTGTAATATTGAGTTTTTAGTGTTTAAAAGATTTTACTCTGTTTTGAATTAAGATTTCATGTTGCACCTTACTTAATGTAAATAAATGAATTTAGTCAGTAACTAAAATAAATGCTCAAGCCGTGTAAGCAAAAGGTTGGCTCTGATAGGATAAGGAAAAGCTTGCTGTGAGATAAAGCAGACTTACCTATGGTTATCTTTCTCTTTAATAATCTATAACCAAGAATCTGAGTTTTTGGACAATCTCATATTTATAAATTTCTATTAATTGAACAAATAAGTAGTGTTTACAGTTCGTGGTGGTTAAAATTTGGTGTATAGGCTTTTCTTCAAATATATTCGTCTCTTCATTTCAGTTGTGCCAGGTAGACCAGATTTCTGTCCTCCTGCCGTGTAATTTTGGCAATGATAAGGATATATTCTTTTTTTTTCAAGATTTTATTTATTTATCCCCCCCCCCAAAGCCCCATTAGATGTATGTCATAGCTGCACATCCTTCCAGTTGCTGTATGTGGGACACGGCCTCAGCATGGCCGGAGAAGCGGTGCGTCGGTGCGCGCCTGGCATCCGAACCTGGGCCGCCAGCAGTGGAGCGCACGCACTTGACCACTAAGCCACGGGGCCGGCCCACGATATATTCTTGAAAATTGGAGAATCTCGTAAATTTACAGTGTTGACATTCACTTGAGAAGAAGGATGTCATACACTTAGAGATTATTGAAGAATAGGAAAAACTGTTCGTGTCTAACATTTAGTCAGCTAAGGGTATTTGGATACTATTTCCAGTAAACACGTTGTTTCTTTGATAACCAAGAATTTTTCAGGTCATATTTGATGTGGCCTTGGATTAACTTTCCATTTCTGTTTGTTAGAAAATGTCAATTCATTGGCTCCTAAGGAATTTTATCCAACTAGAAAGAAGTATTCATAATACAGAACCTTCAAAAAAGGCCTGACTTCTATGAGTCCCCTTCCGCCCCCGCCCTCCCCCCCCCCAAAATGGGACCACCTATATATAAGTAACAACATTTAGATTTTTCTTAGTCAGGGGAAAGGAAGAAAGATCTGAAGGAAATCTGTTAAGGAGCAGAGAGAGATGGGGGAAGAGATGTGAGAGGCCTGACGTCCAGCTGGTGCAGATCAACTGTATACTGCCAGCAGCTGGCCGCAGCTGCGCTTTTCTGACACTGTTGCCAAGCGAGGTGTTGCCACAGGGCATGGAGAGCTTCAGGGCAGAAGTGGTCACAGGGTTCTGGGAGGGGTGAGTTGATCAAGGAATGTCAGAGTGCTGAGGGTCAGGAACTGGACAAAGGTAAGGAATCTTAGTAGTTAAGACAAGAACCTGGCAATATTCATTCATTCAGAGATTTTCTGGGAGTATCTGCTGTGTGCCAGGCATGGTTCTAGGTGCTAGGGCTGTGTCAGTGAAGAACAGAGCCACGGTCCCTGGCCACAGAGCTGTTATGAAGATGGACTATCATCAGTGGTCACGACTCCAGGAAGCCACTGTTTAGGTCATGGGACTTTTTTCCTTTTCTTTTGGACCTCAGATGCTCAGTCTTGAGTTACTCGAAGACCTTAGTTCATAGCTTTATTTCTTTCTAATAAATTACCCCAAATTGTAGTGGGTTAAAACAACAGACGTTTATTATCTCACAGTATGCTTGGTCAGGCTCTGGGCGTGGCTTAGCTGGGTTCTTCTGATTCAGGGTCTTTCACTGTGAGCAGGCTATCAGTCAAGGCTGCAGTCATCTCAAGGCTCAACTGGGGAGGATCTGCTTCCAGGCTCCCTCGCATGGCTGTTGGCAGGATTCAGTTCCTCTGGACTATTGGACTGGGGGCCTCAGCTCCTCATTGGCTGTTGGCCTGGGGCCTCCCTCAGTTCTTTGCCATGAGAGCTTTCTGCACAGGGCAGCTCACAGCGTGGTGGCTGGTTTCCCTCAGAGCGGGCCAGCAAGCGACAGCAAGCAAGATGGAGGCCACAGTCTAATGTCAGAGTTGACATTCCATTATTTTTGTACATTCTGTTTGTTACAAGATCACATGCAGGGGAGGTGCTTGCACAAGGGTATGGATACCGGGAGGCAGAGAATGAGAACTACCACAGACTGGCCTGAGGCTGTTGGTGTGATTTTGACGTCCTTGCTTCTCCACTGAGGTTGTGATTCCATCTCCCTCTAATCTCTGTCCTAAGGACATAGTACCCTCTGTCTTCTCTCACAGCAGTGCTGATTGTTAGCTCTTCCACCTGCCAACGTTTCCTGACAGTCTTGCTTCCTCTACTCCTCTAATTCTGGGCTGTATGAAAATGACTACCTTCTCTTGTTTATTTGTCGGAAAATCTTTTTGGTCCTATGTCTAACACATAGTGAGTCTGATTGATATTCCTGGTTGGCCTACCATTATTCTCGACTTGCCCTGCCCACCAGCTAACAATCTACATTAAATTAAACTCAAGAAATTTGGTTGGCATGTCTTTTGCAGAAAACCTCATCGCAGAGTAAAGAATTTAAATATGCAGAACATAAGAGCCATAGCGTCTTTGTCAGACTTAAGCTCTGTTGCATCACTTGACCTTAACCAGAGGTGCAGTGGGGAGGGAGTTGGCAAGAAACAACTTTAGGAACCACTTCTGGCTAGACTCAGTTAAGCTAGGTAGAGAGGTCCCCACATAGAAGTTATCTCTGTTCATCTATGAGACACATCTATTTGGATGTCCCACTGACATACGAAGGGAGTCAAGAATAATGATCATATTTCTGTCATACATCTATGTCTTCTTAGCTTTCCTGTGATCTTTCATGATTCTTTCATTTTTTACTTCCACAGGCTTGAAACATCATTCATTTTCAGCATCTTCTCCACACGAGGTCATAAGTACTCTAAGCAGTTCTTTCACCACGTTTCAGATTTGTTTCTTTTTATTTCCAAAGCCACAACCCTAATCTAAATTATTGCCCCCTCAAAAGCATGCAGATCTTTCTGACTTTGAACTTCACCATGCTATGTACAGTTAATAAATAATAGTAATTACCCCATCAACATCAACAAAGCTAACATTTATCAAGTGCCTACTTCTAATGTTTTATATCCATATCCTACTAAGTACAAAGACTGTGCTTGTTTCTTGTATATAGAAAGCTTCAGGAAGATACATTTAGCGTTTATTGAAGACCTACTCTTTGCCAAGGAGTATGCCAAGTATTTTAAATCGTCGTTTATTCCTTATAGTGCAACTCGTGAAAGTAGTTACTATCTCAAGTTTACAGATTTAAAAACTGAGGCTTAGAAAAGTTAAGGGACTTGACCAAGGTGGCAGAATTATAATGCTAACCAAGATTTTTCTAACTTCAATACACATGTGCTTTCTGCTGTTCCACACTGCCTTCCAAGAACTATGGCTAACAGTCTACATTTGTTCTGCAGATATTTGATAAGACCTGTGTGACATGCATTGAGGATAGTCTCACACCTTTCAGATGCAAATCCCGCTCTGAAAGAGCTTCGTCCAGTAGAGATAAGACATATATCAGTAACTGTAATTCAGAATAGACAAGTGCCCGTAGAGTGGCAGAGGACTTCCGAAGGGGGAGTTTATTTTGAATTGAGAAGTTCGGAAGGTAGACATACTGAGAGAGCTGGCATCTGAGCTGGACTTTGACATGTAGGTAGGGTTTGGCTGCAGGAACTTAGACATTTCTTTGAAGGAGTGGAAATAGCATGAACAAATGCATAGAGATGGAAAATGCAGTGTGTGTGATTGTGAGCTTCTTGAGAGAGCCCTCGAAAGTATACTTTTAAAAAACTCTTTGTAGTACTTATTTTTAAAAGACATATAATATGAAAATGTTTCTTTCTTTTTTTTAGCTTACACTTGAGCATGAGTCTTCTTATGATTAGTGAGAATGTAAAATTGGCTCGTGAATATGCACTGCTGGGAAACTATGATTCTGCGATGGTCTATTATCAGGGAGTGCTTGACCAAATGAACAAGTATCTGTATTCAGTCAAAGATACGTACCTCCAGCAGAAATGGCAACAGGTGAGAATCATGGCTGCTCTTTGTTTTAATAGTGTAAGTACTCAGAAGAGAAGATTTAAATAGATTGTCAGTGCTTTTTGCAGTGATGATTTATTTCATGGATTTGTATATAATGTTACTTGATATTAGTAATATTCCATATTCACGATCATCAGTATTATGAGTTCTCAATTATTCTAATTATTGAAATCTAATTAGTGGAATCTAGCATTAAAAAAAAAGTAATGATTTTGAAATTTTTTTCTAGATCACATTTTTTACCTGGTAAAATTAGAGTTGACTTTATTAAGCTGTTGTTGAAACTGCAGATGACACCTGAATCTCACAGGTACCCTGTTCCCTTTAGAACATCATAAAGCAGACCATATTTTAATCCCATGTGAGGAATTTCAGTCACTGAGGACCAATAGAAATTTACAGATGGAAACAGTAGAACTTATAGGTCCAGTTGAAGGTGGCATTTATAACAAGGTTCAGCTACCTTACAGAGGAAGGGAATGTTACAGAAATGAAGGTCTTTTTGAGCTGGTCTTCTAGGTAGAATATTATCCCTCAGGTTCTACTGAACTGCTTTTTTGATAGTATTCCATATTAGTCCTTGATTTCTTTGAAAGAGAGAAATATCCTGCTGCTTTGAATTGAACCTCTTTCCCTACATCTGCCTCTGCATATTCCTTACATTACCAAAAGGGAAAAATATTTTGTTTCATAAGGAGTCTTAAGTTTGTCACTGAAAGACTTTTGTTTTTAGGCCAGAGACTTTGACTTTAAAAGTCTAAGCTTTTTTGTAAAAACACTTAAATCATTTAGTTTTAAAACCAAACATTACCACCTTCATTTCAGTATTTCATATCTATAGTTTTTAAATTGTCAAGACTGCTTTTAAAAAAATATCTTGATTGTATGTGAATTGAGCAATTTATCCTCTGAAGTCATATTTTTCAAACTGTGGGTTGCAATCCATTAGTGAGTTATGAAATTAGTGGATTCTAATCAGCATTATAAAAGTCAATTAAATAGCATAAAAACCATCCACATGCAACTTGCTAAAGTATTGTTTTTATCAAACTTTAAAGTTACAGCTAACTTTTCAATTTGTTATGCAATTTGAATAAGAACCGTAAGTCAGTAACATGGCTTAATTAGCCAGAATATTTAATTCATTTTGTCAGAATTAATTTTGCAGTTGAAAACAAGGAATTAATAAACCATTATTAAATTTCGACAGAATATTTTGGTGTGATTTACTGGGTATCTCATGTCAAAACGGAGGTTTCTGACATCTCTAATAAATGGCGCTAGTTTAATCTTGGCAGTGATTTATTATAGAAATTTAAACATCCATATTCTCCTTCTCCTTTGAAACCAGGTTTGGCAGGAAATAAATGTGGAAGCTAAACATGTTAAGGATATCATGAAAACACTAGAGAGCTTTAAACTAGACAGCACTCCATTGAAAGCTGCACAGCATGAGCTTCCAGCTTCTGAGGGAGAAGTCTGGTCCTTGCCTGTACCTGTTGAACGAAGGTAAGGGGAGACCTTTTAAGAAACAAACTAGCACAGGAAACTAGTCACATTGGTTATATCTAGGAGAACTGGGTGGCTGAGAGACAGGAATGGGAGAGGTTTTTTACTGAATGCCTTCTATAACTCTTAAATTGTATATCATGTAACTCTGTGACCCATTTCAACTAATTAAATTTAGGTAGAAACAAACCAAAAATATGCTTTTGTGAATGAGTTTAAAGTAGTAGAGACACCGTTATCTTATGGAAGGAGCATGGGGCTGAGAACTGAAATATCTGGGCTCTCATTCTATCTTTGCCACTGTCTGTAGCTTTGGGAAAACCATGTAACCTTTCTAGGCCTTTCACATTTTTCTTATATATAGTGAAGGACTTAGACTAAAATAGTAGTGGTTCTCAAACAAGCTATCGTGAATACTGCTATTCATGAAGCTGTACTCCTGCTAAAATCCAAAAATGGGCTTTTTAATTCAAAGAAAAGATAAAATGTTCTCAATTTTAGGGGTTTTTTTGGGCATTTTTCCCCCAGCTTCCTATTACCTTGTGTCAGCAAATGAACAGTTAGTGAAAGTGATATGCACCGAAATGCTCTAAACAGCCCATCAGGTTTAGTTTCACTGTGTGTGTGTTTTTTTTGTTTTTTTTGTTTTTGGTGAGGAAGATTGGCCCTGAGCTAACAGTGTTGCGAATCTTCCTCTTTTTGCTTGAGGAAGATTGTCGCTGAGCTAATATCTGTGCCCATCGCCTCTATTTTTTGTATGTGGGATGCCGCCACAGCATGGCTTGATGAGCGGTGTGTAGGTCCACACCCAGGATCTGACCCCGCAAACCCCGGGCCACCAAAGTGGAGTGTGCAAACTTAACCACTATGCCACCGGGTCAGCCCACCACTGTGTTTTTTTGTTTTTTTTGTGTGTGTGAGGAAGATTAGCCTTGACCTAACATCTGATGCCAACCTTCCTCTTTTTGCTGAAAAAGATTGGCCCTGGGCTAACATCCATGCCCATCTTCCTCTCTTTATATGGGACGCCGCCATAGCATGGCTTGACAAACAGTGCATTGGTGCACGCCTGGGATCCGAACCCATGAACCCCGGGCCACCGAAGCAGAGCGCACACACCCAGCCGCTGCACCACTGGGCCGGCCCCCATTGTGTGTTTTTTAACTGACAGGTGTGCAGGTGGAAGTCACTTATCTATTTCATTCGCATAGTAGATTTCCTAGTTTGTATTGCTGATTTCAATTTAAGCATGTATAATAGCACACTGCTTGCAGGTTCTTGGCCCCCAACCAGTGCGAGAACTTTGCGTTAAGTCGTTGCTCAGGTGTTTTTCAGTTGAACATTCTATCATTGTATCTCTTAATTCTTGATTGTATTTTAGGATAGGTGCTGGATATTGAGTGGCTCACTGAAAAAGCCACTCTTATAGGCTACACGTTATTTCGTTTATTTCTCACACTAAGCCTTCCAAATAAGTCAAATTTTCGTGTATTTCAGATAAGACAGCTGAGGTACAGTGAAGTTGGGTAACTTTTTCCCATTATCACAAAGCTAGTGGAGCTAAGATTTCAACCAGATGTATTTGACTACAAAGGTGGCACTCCCTGCCATACCAGTCATTCTCAAACTCTAGCACACATAAAGATCTCTTGGGGCACTCATTAAAAATGTGGATTCTGAGGCCAGCCCGGTGACATAGCAGTTAAGTGCACATACTCTGCTTTGGCGGCCTAGGGTTCGCAGGTTCAGATCCCGGGCACACACCGACGCACTGCTTGTCAAGCCATGCTATGGCGGTGTCCCATATAAAAGTAGAGGAAGATGGGCATGAATGTTAGCCCAGGGCCAATCTTCCTCAGCAAAAAAGAGGAGGATTGGCATCGGATGTTAGCTCAGGGCTAATCCTCCTCACACACACACAAAAAAATGCGGGTTCTGGGGTTGCGCTCCCGGAGAGTCTGATATAATAGATAGCAGGTGGAGGCCAGGCCTCTGCATGTCATTCTGGTCCAGGTGGTCCGCGGATCACACTTTGAGAAGTACAGTAGCAAAGTGCTCCTTCTCCAGTTTAAGGTCAACTAACGAGTATTGATCGTTTCTTAGCCACTTGAATTTTCTTCAGTTCCAGATAAAAGTGCAAATGTTCCGGGGCCGGCCCCGTGGTGCAAGCAGTCAAGTGTGCCGCGCCGCTCCGCTCTGGCGGCCTGGGGTTCGCCAGTTCGGATCCCAGACGCGCACCGACGCACTGCTTGGCAAGCCATGCTGTGGTGGCATCCCATATAAAGTGGAGGAAGATGGGCACGGATGTTAGGCCAGGGCCAATCTTCCTCAGCAAAAAGGAGGATTGGCAGATGTTAGCACAGGGCTGATCTCCTCACAAAAAAAAAAAGTGCAGATGTTCCGTTACTGACTCTGATAGCTTTTGAATGTTTACTAAATTTTCCCCTTGCTCCTAAGCACTTTTCATATATATTATGTTTTCTGTTATATTTTAGAATTCACTAAAAAAATGTACAGCAATAGGCTGATTAAAGAAGAATAGGAAAATGCATGAAAGTAGGGGAAAATCATATATTCATTCTAGTGTGACTTCTAGTCCCCTGTGCAGTGTTTATTTTCATCATTGTATTTGTGCTATATCCATAATGTGTAACTTTGTACCCTGTTTTTTAAAAAAAATCCTAATAGACCACAGTCATTACATGTGCCAAGTACTGTGTTAATTGCTTTATGTATATTGTGTAATTCTCAAAAGAACCTTAGAAAGTAGCTACTAGTTTTTGGCTTCAATTTCTGATGAGGAAACGTAAGCTTAGGTAGGTTAAGTAATTTGCTCTTCATATTGTAAACATTGATAGTTTATAAGCCATGTCAGGCCTTTTTCTTCACTGCTGCTTGTAAAGGGTTGTTTGCTACTCTTTTGAGTGAGATGTAACCTACATAGTTAACCATGCTCTTACTGGTTAATTTTCCCTTTTTTGTTACTATAAATAAAGTGAATACTTGAGTGAAACTTTTTCCACATTTATGATTGCTTTTTTCTTAATTTCAGAAGTAGAACTAAATAATAAATGAGTCAGATTGTGTTTTTATTTTTTCTTGCCTGTGAATATGTTTTACTCCTCTTTACTTTCTCTTTTCTTTCCTCCTTCTGGAGAGTCGTCATTTGGCCCTTGTATTAGTTTGCTCCAACTGCCCTAACAAAGTGCCACAGACTGAGTGGCTTAAACAGCAGAAATTTATTTCTCACAGTTCTGGAGGCCGGAAAGTCCAAGATCAAGGTGCTGGCTGATTTGGTTCCTGGTGAGGACTCCTCCTGAGCAGGTGGCTGCCTTCTCTCTCTGTGCTGCCATGACAGAGGGAAGGAGCTAGCTCTCTGACTCTTATGAGGACACTAAGCTTTAGATGAAGGCCCCACCCTTATGGCCTTATTTAACTTTAATTACTTCCGTATTCCAGATGGTGACGTTGGGGTTAGGGATTCAACATAATGAATTCTCAGGGGACACAAACATTCAGTCCATAACAGCCATGTAACTCCTCTCTCAGTTATTAGTAAGGACTTTCCAGTGAATAGATGTGCCCAGTGAAAATTCTGTTGATTTCTAGTTTAATGAACTATTTGGTCACCTCAGTCTAACAAGCAGAGGCAGGAGGATTCTTTCTTGGGGGTAGTGGGAAGTTGAGTTAGATGAGCCTCTTCATCTTGAAAATGCTGTGATAATGAGCCCTAGGGTCCCATCTTATTGCTTCTTGCTTTCTTCATTATCTTTTTCTGCCTCTCATTTTAAATCCTCTGGATGGCTCTTACTCTTTGACTTTACTTGCTGCATCTTTCTGTTTCTTCCTGTAATTTATTTTACTTGCTCCCTCAACTGGATATCCTTCAAAACTCTTTTTCTATTAGCCTTCCTTTGTACTCATGCTTACGAGAGCTTATTCGTTCTTCAGCTTTATTGGTGATTCTAACCTTGTCGTTACCTAAGTTGTAGTCCCACTAAAGACTAGATTCAGCTGATCCAGTATTCTCTTCTAGAGCTGTACACAAAAATGTTTGTACGAGGAGGTTCATCGAAGCCTTTTAGAGAAAAGATTAAAATAGCTTAAAAGCTATTAGTTGTGATCCTTTTAAAATGTCTTTTAAAAGTCAGCTCATGTCCCTCAAATATCTTCTCATCTCACAGAATAAAACCCAAAGTTTTCTTCACGTCTTCAATGTCCTATGAGGTCTGGTTCCTCTGTCACCACTGCCTCTGTGACCTGAGTTCTTACACCTCTCTCTCGGTCTCCCGGAGCAAGTCAGACACACAGATGCTTCAGTTCTTTGCACTTGCCTTTCCTTCAGCTCAGATGTTTGATGGCTTGTGCTCTCATTTCTTTCAGGCCTCTACTTAAATGTACCTCAGAAGGGCTGTCTCTGATCCCCCCACCTAGAAAACCACCCCCTCCCCCATCTATATCCCCTACCCTTCTTTGTTTTTCTAGATAGCACTTAGCATCATCTGATGTACTGTTCATTTCTTCATTGAAATTTCCTCCCCCCAACACTTGTAGGTAAGCCTGTGAGAATAAAGCCTTTTATTAAGATTATTTTCTAATTTTTTTATCTCTAGCGCATAGAGTAGTGCCTATCAATAGTAGTAGTTCAGTAAATTATTTTTTGGATGAATGAATAGCTAGCAGTAAGAAGTGGATAAAGTGTGGCACATTTTATGTGATTGACTGACATCGAGTCATTAAAAGTCATTTATGAGGAGATGATACAGGAAATACCTCATGATATAAGGAGTAAAGAAAAATATGAGTGTATCTGTGTAATGCTTCCAATTTTGGTTAAATGAAAGGCAACTATGAGAAAATAGACTAATATGTTAAGTGGTTAACTCTGGATAGTGGGCTTACAGGTGACTTTTTTATTCTTTAGACTTTATTATATTTCAGTGTTTATTTTATATTTTTTTCCAGTAAGGGGAAAAATAACTATATAATTTAACGGTATATCTCCACTTGGCTATCCAAGTTTCTAAATCCAAAATTGAACCACCATCATTCCTTCCACATATGCGTTGGTTTTACTTTATCATCCTCCCAAATTCTCATTCTCAACTTTCCACATGTAGGAGTGTCTTTTTTAATAGTGTGTCTCTTGGACTCTCATTGTTACTGTTACATTGTTACTGAGGCCCTCATCTCATGCTGTGATAACATTTGTAATCTGCAGACCTCTCCCTGCTTTCTGTTTCCTTATCAGTATATCTTATTCAGTATTAGACTAATCTTTCTAAAACCTTTTCAGGGGCAGTTAGCTAAAAGCCAAGCCTCTAGAAGAGAGACTCAGATCTTCTACTTACTGAACCAGCTTGTCTGTTCAGTATCCTCTCTTCATGCTCACCATTGTCTCTATAGTTAGTGTCTTCATAATCCTTTACATAGATTAAGCTCATTTTGATTTCTTTGCTTTTCTTCATGGACTTTCTTGCCTGCAGTTGTACCCTCTTGTTTGGTTCATCTCCTGTGTTTCCAGGCCCAATTTATTTTCTGTCTTCATGAGGCCATTGCCATAGCATGAGGTCTCTTTCACACTTTCTAGGATACTTACCTAGTTTCACGTATCTTCTTCTTTCTTAACTATACTTGAGGTATTGAGGACAGGACTCCCCTGCCTTTTTTATTGCTCATTTTAATGGCCCCAGCCAAGTCTAGGGGCAGAGTGAGAGCTGATATTTGAGAGGTCTGAATCCAGCCACAGAAAGAAGATGAGATGAGATGATGCCTGTTAAGTGACCACCCATCAGTTCTGTAACTGTCCAGAGCTAGAGCTTTTGTCAGTTTTTTATGGGAAAATGATTACATTTTATTAATTAAAACATGAGAACTATGATACATTTTAAATAAAATGGTACCAAATTGCATATATACCAGTGGATAAATGTGAAGTCTACACCTGTGCTGTATTCTGGTTCTTTTGATAAAACTTGCTTCTCTAATAATTGTTCTCTTTTCAGTTTCCGAGAATCAGACTAATTTTTCATTCATCCTTGGTCTACAGCAGCTATTTCCTTTCAAAGGAGAGGTGACATTAGGTCTTAGATTGCAGTGACCTTAAGTTTATTCAGTCCTGTCTTGTGTTCATTATTGCCTTGGCTTCTTTAGGTCATAAACTTTAACTCACACACTGTGTTCATCTGTAGTTGGACCAACTCCAGGAGTCGATTGTGATTGTCATGATCTTGTGTTTGATTAGACCCTCACCAGGACCTAGGAAACGCCAGTCTCCTCAGTATAGTGACCCTAAGCCACACGGGAACCGTCCAAGTACAACTGTCAGAGTTCACCGTCCATCTGCACACAATCTTCACAACGACAGAGGGAAGGCTGTTCGTTATCGGGAAAAGAAAGAACAGAATAAAGGAAGAGAGGAAAAGGTAAATGTTACTGATTTTCATAATTGAAAAAGTTAACGTTAAAAGTGCAGACTACAAATTTTCATAATTTTTAGACACCTAAAACTGCTAGACTATAATAAAACCTTGGTCACACTCCACCTAGGCAAGAATTTTTCCCACTCACTAGTCAACAAATAGTTTTGGCTGTTTTTTGTAACTTTATATCTTGATACAATTTCAGACTTGCAAACAGGTTGCAAGAATGGTATAAGGAACTTCCATATATTCTTTACCCAGTTTTACCAATTACTGATATTTTGCCCCTTTTGCTTTATCATTTGCTCTCATTGACATTTTTTCTCTCTTTATCATTTGCTCTCATTGACATTTTTTTTTTCTGAAGCATTGAGAGTAAGTTGTAGGTATCATGCCCTTTTACCAATGAATACTTCAGAGTATTTCCTAAGTGCTAGGACATCCTTTTATGTAAACACAATACAGTTATCAAAAGCTGTAAATTTTACATTGATACAGTACAGTTATCTAATCCACAGACCTTCATAAAATTTAGCCAGTTATCCCAATAATGTCATTTATAGCTTTCTCCCTGCTGTGCCAAGATCCAGCATAGAGGCGTACCTCGCATTTAGTTGTCATGTTTCTTTAGTCTCTTTTAATGGCAACATTTCCTCAGCCTTTGTCTTTTTTGGCCAGGCATTTTTGAAGAGTTCAAATAAAGTTATTTTGTAGAATGTCCCTCAATTTGTGTTTGTCTGATGTCTCCTCTTGAAACATTTTTGGCAGGAATACCACTGAGGTGAAGTTTTGTTCTTCTCAGTACATCATATAAAGAGGCAGAGGGTGTTAATTTGTTCTCCTGCTCGTAATGAATTGGATCGCTTGGTTAGGGTGGTGTCTGCCAGGTCTCTCCCCTATAAAGTTACTCTTTTTTCTGTATAATAATTTGTGGGGAGATACTTTGAGATTATGTAAATATCCTATTGCTCATCAAAATTTCTTCTACTTGTTTTAGCATCCAGTAATTCTTGCCTGAATCAGTTATTCCTCTGATGATGGAAAAGTCATGTTTTCTAATGCCATTATTTCTTCACATTAATTAATTGGCATTCTACTGTAAGGAAAAGCTTTGTCTCTTCCCCTTTATTTAATTTTATCACTATGGACTCATGAATTCTTATTTTATTCAGTGAGTTATAATTTGTTACTATCTTTTTAATACTTGTCCAAGATTTGAGGAGTGAGAGACCCTTCGAGCAGGATCTTAGTCTTTTTGACATGTACTCACTGTGCTCTGGGCACTTCCTCATTTTCTGGCACGATAAGATGTTCCAGGCTCATCTTGTATTTCCCCCCTTTCCCCAGGGAAATCGGGTTTCTGTTAATGAGGAGTGGGATTTAGAAACTGAGATTTCAGTGCCAATTAATATTTTTTGAGGGCTTATGCTCTCTTGTAGTAAGCATATGGGAATCTGAGAGCTTCGTTTCGTCCCTTCTACTTCCACTTCTTCACCCTCCCCTGCCCACGGCAAATATCCAGTGTGATGTGGCTGTGATGTGAACAAGTATGGGATAGCTTGTACCACAAGGACCCCTCCACATCACCTGGGCAAAGTAGAAACTGCATATAGCAAAACATAAAGCCCCCAGTGTTGCCCATCCGTTCCTTTTCAAAACATCACATCAGCCCCTCCTTCAAGTTCCTTCTCATAGGTTTGCAGTCTAACTTTGTAATTCTTTTTTTTTTTTTTTTTTGTGAGGAAGATCAGCTCTGAGCTAACATCTGGTGCCAATCCTCCTCTTTTTTTGCTGAGGAAGATTGGCCCTGAGCTAACATCCGTGCCCGTCGTCCTCTGCTTTATATGGGACGCCGCACACTTGACAAGTGTGCGTCGGTGCACGCCTGGGATCCGAACCTGCGAACCCCGGGCCGCCGAAGCAAAGCTGGAGCACTTAACCACTTGCACCACTTGGCCAGCCCCCAAACTTTGTAATTCTACATGAGAGCCTCATCCAGTAACCAGCAAATGCACACCTTTAACCACAACCTTCCTTGTTGATAAAGATACAGGTGTCCATTTAGCTCTTGATTTTGTGCCGTCTGCTGTATTCCCTCTCCTCCCCACTTCCGGAGGTCAGTTGCCCTTGTACATCTGGATAGTCAGGTCCCTTGAGTCCCTCTCACCGTGGTTCTGCAGTCCTCCATCCCTGCACTTTCAGCAGCAGCAGTTCTGTTTTCGTTCCTGAAACAGGGAAGGATATGGGGAAGGCGGCTAATGAATCTGGCCTTTGGAGTATTATCAAGACCAAGGTTGCCCTGGCCTGTCATCTAGGGCTTGCGTTGTAAGCCCTGTAACCATCTGTGGTTTCTAGAGGTTCCTTTTTTGCCTATACACGTCCAATTGCTTCAGCACTGTTTGTTGAAAAGTCTGTATTTCTCCACTGAATTGCTTTTATAGGTTTCTCAAAAATCAGTTGGGCATATTTATGTGGGTCTATTTCTGGGTTCTGTATTATGTTTCATTGATATATGTATCTCTCTCTCAACTGATACCCACAGTCTTGGTTACTGTAGCTATATAAAAGTCTTGAAATAGGGTAGACTTATTCATTCCATTTTATTCTTCCTTTTCAATGTTGTTTTAGCTATTCTAGTTGCTTTCTTTTTCCATATAAATTTTAGAATCAGCTTTTCTATGTCTACAGAGAATCTTGCTGAGATTTTGATAGGAATTATGTTAAACCTATATATCAATTTGGGGAAAATTGGCATCTTTATTACCTTGAGTCTTTCAATCCATAAATATGTTACCTCTTTTTATTTAGTTCTTTAATTTCTTTCATCAGCATTGTATAATTTTCAGCATACAAGTCTTGCATGTTTTGTTAGATTTTACATCTATTTCATTTTTTAAATGATTCTAAGTAGTATTGTATTTTTGATTTCAGTATGCACGTATTCATTGCTAGTATATAGAAATACAATTGACTTTTTAAAAATTATTTTTGTTAAATTGTAGTTTAAATATATGTAACTAAAATTTACCATTTTAAACATTTTTAAGTATGCAGTTCAGTGTAATTGAGTACATTCATGTTGTGGAACTGTTACCACCATCCATGCACAGAACATTTTTAATTTTGCAAAACTGAAACTCTGCACCAATTAAACAATAACTCCCTGCGGGGCCGGCCCCGTGGCTTGGTGGTTAAGTGCGTGCGCTCCGCTGCCGGCGGCCCGGGTTCGGATCCCGGGTGCGCACCGAGGCACCACTCCTCCAGCCATGCTGAGGCCGCGTCCCACATACAGCAACTAGAAGGATGTGCAGCTATGACAGACAACTATGTACTGGGGCTTTGGGGAAAAATAAATAAATAAAATCTTTAAAAAAAATAAATAAATAAACAATAACTCCCTGAAAAGGAAAACTGTTTTCTGTTTAGGTTTTTATGGAGGCTTCATTGCATGAACATGATTGATTAAATCATTGGCCATTGGTGCTTAATTGAACCTCCAGCCCCTCTCCCCTCCGTAGAGGTTGGAAGGTGAGGCTTTATGTTCCAAGCCTCAAATCACATGTTTGGTTCTCCTGACAACAGCCCCATCCTGTGGTTACTAGGGGCTTTCTAAAAATCACCTCATTAACATAAACTCAGGTGTCAGTGAAAGGGGCTTGTTATGAATAACAAAAGACACCCCTTTCACCTTTACTGCTCTGGAGCTATTTCAGGGACTGGGAACCAAAACTAAATATTATGACAAAAGATGCTAGAACTAGAAAGTGCCTCCTATTTGTGTCTTCCTGGGCTTGCAGTGTAACTTCCCAGAAGTCAGGGACAGTGTCTGCTTTTTGTCCCCCACAGCTGCTAGATTCTTGGTAAATATCTGTGAATGATGACTTCATAAATACTTAGTAGAAAAGGTAACCTTCTCCTGTTTTCAGTGTTACACAGTACCGTCCTTGAATCTTTTATGTTACTGTTGGATGCTGAACGTGTAAGTTGTGAGGCAGATGCTTATTGGTTAAGTCTAGACATTAATGCTGACTTTAGACGGCACCATTGACAAAGAAGTCATCATGCTATGGGCAAAAAAGTGTTATGGAGATGGGGTAACAATCCTAATACAAGGCCAAGTAAATGATTACTTACCCTACTGCAGACCTTCGTAAATTTTCTTGGCTCATAAAATTCATGAATGTCTCAGTAATTTTTTCACAGCACCTCTAGGTCAAAAAGAATACCCATCCGTTTATGAAGAAGTTAGGTTCAAACAACTTTGTTTATATGCTAACAACACTGGACACTGCACAGTTTCTCAGACCTGGGGGTCAGAGTGGACAGTGCACTCTCATTTCCCCTCCTTCAGGATTTTTCCCACTACATCTTTTACCACAGCAACTGCCAAAAACTCAGCTTCACAAAAATGTGGTATTATTGAAAGGAATGTAGCAGTCTTAATGTAGAAACTGTGAACTGCCTTGAGCTGGTAGTTAACCAGTGTTCATCAGATGCTGCTGTGTTTCCCTCGACCATCTTAACATACCCTGCGTGCCCCGTGAGTTTGCGTGGTGCCTGGAGAACGTCACTTCACAGTTTGGGAGCTGTGGCCCTGCTGGCTGTCCTCACAGAGGATGGGAGGAATCTCACCCATGGCCTGAGGTGTCTCTTTTGGAGGGGGGTGGGAATAGTGAAAAGGGATGTTTTAGGAGCATTGATGAGGACTGAGTAGGTGGTTCAAGACGGAGCCATAGTCTTAGCTAAATAAACATCTGTCTTTAACCTTACCTCCTCTAAAAGTTGGAGATAAATGTCGTACATATCTGATATTCGCTAGTGACCACAGTTAATCTCAATATTAAATTTTTTGATTCTTGCCACTTGGTATGCATAATATTTTTATTTTTCTTTAACACTTTTGTCATACTTTTTATGTAAAAATAAAAATTGAGTAGGAAACTCTGATCTTGATATGGAAGGATTATAGTCTTTGATTCTGTCCTTAATACTTGTACTCTTTACTGTATTAGCTTTTTAAAAAATATCATTGGAGTCCAGTCTTTGTTTCTGACTCACAGAAGCAAAATATAGTTTTTGAGTCAACCAAAAGCTCTTGTTTTTTTCTCCCAATGTAGAACAAATCACCCGCTGCAGTTACAGAACCAGAGACAAATAAATTTGATAGTACTGGATATGATAAGGACTTAGTAGAAGCTTTGGAAAGAGATATAATTTCTCAGAATCCCAATGTTCGATGGTAAGTTATATCAAAACAAAATAATTGGGTGCTGATGATGCTTTTTGGAAGAGAAAATGGAGCAACTGTGGGCATGCACTGAAGATCAGTCCTTGGGGTTAGAACTGGAGTGCATCAGTGTTAGCATGACACATATTGAAAACCTTCACTGCGGTTCAGGCTGTACCAATTTTTTGTCTGAAATTTTTTTATTTAATAAAATAAATAATAGTAAAATAAAATTTTTATTAAATAAACAACTCTTACATACAGAATGGGAATAAGATCACAGAAACCTCATCTTCCCTTTGGGACAGCGTCTCATGGTGAAATGGCAATGATTCTTATGCCTGTGTTGCTTATCTGTAGGGTTATCCAATAGGTGCTGCTTTTGTTTCCTGTTACTTAGAGCAGTGCTTCTCAAGTCTATTAATATTATATCTAGTCAAAGAACTGTAGTTTATCATAATGAGTTTATAAAAGCTCCCTTTCCCACAAAGTTAGGTACATTCTGTTATATATTTTTTGTTAAAACCTTAATGATTTTAGGTATAGTTTTGGGGATATTTTAGAAGTATTTTTTGGTACTTGATATTTATACAGTGAACAGATATTTTAATTAAAAACACCACGTGGGGGCTGGCCCAGTGGCGCAAGCAGTTAAGTGCGCGCGCTTCACTGAGGTGGCCTGGGGTTCGCCGGTTCGGATCCCGGGCACGCACCGACGCATCGCTTGGCAAGCCATGCTGTGGTGGTGTCCCATATAAAGTGGAGGAAGATGGGCACGGTTGTTAGCCCAGGGCCAGTCTTCCTCAGCAAAAAATAGAGGAGGATTGGCAGATGTTAGCACAGGGCTGATCTTCCTCACAAAAAACAAAACAAAATAACAAAAAAAAAACGCCACGTGTACCAGCAGCAGCACTCGTGTTCTAGCCGTTGGCGATGGCGTCGTCGCAGTCTCTGTGACGCTCTTTAACCTAGTGTCTACCTCTTAGTAGGGTTGGGGGCAGAGCAGCAGTATTGCAGCCTATCTCTGCTTTATGCCCTTTTTATTCTTATAGTATTCTTTAATGGGCTCATTGTTTCTCAATCGTGGAGGTTATGGAATGAGCATCATAAGAGCAGGAATTTAAAATGAGATGGCATAATACTACTTAAGAGTGGGCCTATAGACCTGTGTTCTCATTCACCAAGCTGAAAATCATTACTGCCAAGAACTGAAGATACAGATTATGCTCTTTTTATATCCTGGTTTGCTCGCCGGCCTCATCACAGTGTGTTAGTTCACTAGGGCCTAGGGAGAGGCTTATTAGCATTCTGTTAGCAACATAAAGTCGTGTGCTTCCAGTGGTTCTCAAGAATGACTACATAGAATTAAATATATAATCTAAGAGCTTGTTGATAAAATATCTTCTCTTTCAGGGATGATATTGCTGATTTAGTAGACGCTAAAAAGTTGCTTAAGGAAGCCGTGGTGTTACCAATGTGGATGCCAGAATTCTTTAAAGGCATTCGGAGACCGTGGAAGGTAAGCTTATTATTATTATGGCATTGTCCAAGTGAATGTCAGGTGCATTGCCATTGAATGCATTTATCTGTATCGTGAGAACCGAGGGGACAAAGTACAGTAGGTCAAGAAAATTTTAAATTAAAAGGGTATGTGGTGTTATTCAGAATTTTGCTTAGACCAAAAGCTATTGCAAGGTTCCCAGAATGAGAAATAGGTACACTGTGATCTTTGCAAAGTTGGACACAGCAGATTTAGAATGAGCTTTTATATGCAAATCTGAACAAGTCACCTAATGTAAAAATACACCTTTTATGTGTCATGTTGCAGAACTTATATCCTGTATTTCTTGTAATTGTTCTTAAGAAATTATTGAGACATATCTGCGTCTAATGAGTACTTTTTTAAAATCATGGGCTGATCTGAAAAGAAACTGTCAAAAAGAACTCTTGCTTAGATTTGGAAAATGTACTAATGGCTAACTTTGCACTATTATTTTTAAAAATTGTTTAAATGTTAAGTGATAAGCAAGGTACAAAATTATAGACATACTTTAAGTATGGCTATGTAAAGAAAATAACTAATTTGTTTGAGCAAAAAGACTAGCAGGAAATATATACAGATACTAATGGTATCTGTGTTAGGGTATGATATTACAGCATCAATATTATAATATTGATTATATTTTTTTCTCATCTCTAGTTCCAAATTTTTAACACTGTAGTACCTTACTTTTGTAATGGAAAAAGTAAATTTGTGATAAAATATCCTTCTGTTTATCTTTCTGTTTGTCTTTTATTTGTCTTAATATTATATATAAGTTGGTTGAAAATTGATCCTTAGTAATGGAATTCTTGGGAATTAGAACGATTGCAGATAAATCCTTTGCTTACACTGTTACATTCCCAACAGGGAGTGTTGATGGTTGGCCCACCTGGCACGGGAAAGACCCTTCTCGCTAAAGCAGTAGCTACGGAATGCAAGACAACATTCTTCAATGTCTCTTCATCAACTCTGACTTCCAAATACAGAGGAGAGTCTGAGAAGCTTGTTCGTCTTCTTTTCGAAATGGTGAATGTTTGAGACAACTCGAATGATCTTTACCTCTAAAAGGGGAGAAGTGAGTTGTGACTGTCTCCAGTGTGTAGAATAGCTACACAGAATGGCATTGTGCCCGTGAAGCTAGAATCCTTCACTAACATGAAAACTTGAGTTCTCTTTGTCTGCTTTCTCCCAGAGGAAGAACTGTCTGTTAGCTTTGGGCATGCTCACGTGATCTGCAGTACTAATCTGCTATAGGAATTTGAAATTATTGTTTTTTAAGTCAGTAGGCTTAGTTATAATATGGTACATGCAGTATTATAACAGTAATGCAAAAAGCTGAAAATCATAAGTGATTGTGGAGCTTAGATCACCTACAATCTATGAACTCTACCAAATACCCCAAGTTTAATGACCCGATCTTTAGATTAAGTTGTTTGCTTCTCACTTTTAGTTTCTTTTTCCTTCTTCCGCTCCCGCTGATCTGAGTATCAGTGGGAGAAGTGTAATCCAGCAAGTCCTGGGAGACTGTTTGGATGGGACTCGGCAGCTCTTTAGACTTCAGGCTTGGTTGAGCTTCCCTGATTATTTCCGTCTTGTCTCATTTAAGGAAGAGTGCAGTTATGTGTATTAGGACAGAGTTATGCTTATTATGTGGACAATGACAAAGACTTACATTCTTTTTTTTTATTGATGTCATAATAGTTAATAACTGTGAAATTTTAGTTGTACATTATTATTTGTCAGTCACCACGTAAATGTGTCCCTTCACCCCTTGTGCCCACCCCCAACCCCCTTGCCCCTGGTAACCACCAACCTATTCTCTCTGTCCCTGTGTTAGTTTATCTTCCACGTATGAGTGAAATCACGCGGTGTTTGTCTTCTGTCTGGCTTATTTCACTTAACATAGTACCCTCCAGGTCCATCTGTGTTGTTGCAAATGGGATGATTTTGTCTTTTTTTATGTCTGATTGTGTTCCATTGTATATATATACATCTTCTTTATCCAATCATCAGTTGAGGGACACTTGGGTTGCTTCCACTTCTTGGCTATAGTGAATAATGCTGCAATGAACATAGGGGTGCATAAGCCTCTTTGGATTGTTGATTTCAGGTTCTTTGAATAAATACCCAGTAGTGGGATAGCTGGATCATAAGGTATTTCTGTTTATAATTTTTTGAGGAATCTCTATGCTGTTTTCTGTAGAGGCTGCACCAGTTTGCATTCCCACCAGCAGTGTATGAGGATTCCCTTTTCTCCACAACCTCTCCAACATTTGTTATTTTTTGTCTTGGTGATGATAGCCATTCTAACGGGTGTGAGGTGATATCTTAGTGTAGTTTTGATTTGCATTTCCCTGATTAGTGATGTTGAACATCTTTTCATGTGCCTATTGGCTGTCTATATATCTTCCTTGGAAAAATGTCTGTTTGTATCCTCTGCCCATTTTTTGATTGGGTTGTTTGTTTTTTTGTTGTTCAGTTGTGTGAGTTCTGTATATGTTATGGAGATTATCCCCTTGTTGGTTATATGCTTTGTGAATACTTTCTCCCAGCTGATGGGTTGTCTTTTCATTTTGATCCTGGTTTCATTTGCCTGCAGAAGCTCTTTAGTCTGGTGAAGTCCCACTCGTTTAGTTTTTTCTTTTGCTTTCCCTTGTCCATGTAGATATAGAATTCGAAAAGATCCCTCTATGACCAATGTCAAAGAGTGTACTGCCTATATTTTCTTCCAGGGGTTTTATAGTTTCAGGTCTTACCTTCAAATCTTTGATCCATTTTGAGTTAATTTTTGGGTATGGAGAAAGAAAATAGGCTACTTTCATTATTTTGCATGTGGCTGTCCAGTCTTCCCAGCACCATGTATTGAAGAGACTTTCCTTTCTCCATTGTATGTTCTTAGCTCCTTTGTCGAAGATTAGCTGTCTGTAGACATGTGGTTTTATTTCTGGGCTTTCAGTTCTGTTCCATTGATCTGTGTGTCTGTTTTTGTACCTGTTTTAATTATTATAATATAATTTAAATGCTGTTTTAATTATTATAGCTTTGTAGTATTTTTTGAAGTCAGGGATTGTGATGCCTCCAGCTTTGTTGTTTTTTCTCAGGATTGCTTTGGCTATTCGGGGTCTTTTGTTGCCCCATATGAATTTTAGGATTCTTTGTTCTATTTCTGTGAAGAATGTCATTGGGATTCTGATTGGGATTGCATTGAATCTGTAGATTGCTTTGGGTAGTATGGACATTTTAACTATGTTTATTCTTCCAATCCATGTGCAAGGGATGTCTTTTCATTTCTTTATGTCATCATCGATTTCTTTCAATAATGTCTTATAGTTGTCATTGTATACGTCTTTCACCTCCTTGGTTAAATTTATTCCTAGATATTTTATTCTTTTTGTTGCAGTTGTAAATGGGATTGTCTTCTTGAGTTCTCTTTCTGTTAGTTCATTATTAGAGTATAGAAATTCAACTGATTTTTGTAAGTTGATTTTGTACCCTGCAACTTGGCTGTAGTTGTTGATTATTTCTAATAGTTTTCCGATGGATTCTTTAGGGTTTTCTATATATAAAATCAGGTCGTCTGCAAACAGTGAGAGTTTTAACTTCTTCATTGCCTCTTTGGATTCCTTTTATTCCTTTTTCTTGCCTAATTCCTCTGGCGAAAACCTCCAGTACTATGTTGAATAAGAATGGCGAGAGTGGGCATCCTTGTCTTGTTGCTGTTCTCAGAGGAATGGCTTTCAGTTTTTCCCTGTTGAGTATGATGTTGGCTGTGGGTTTGTCATATATGGCCTTTATTATATTGAGGTACTTTCCTTCTATACCCATTTTGTTGAGAGTTTTTATTATAAATGGATGTTGTGTCTTGTCAGATGCCTTCTCTGCATCTGTTGAGATGATCATGTGGTTTTTATTCCTCATTTTGTTAATGTGGTGTATCACATTAATTGATTTGTGGATGTTGAACCATCCCTGTGTCCCTGGTATAAATCCCACTTGGTCATGGTGTATGATTCTTTCAATGTATTGCTGTATTCAGATTCCCAGTATTTTGTTGAAGATTTTTGCATCTATGTTCATCAGTGGTATTAGCCTGTAATTTTCCTTCTTTGTGTTGTCTTTGTCTGGCTTTGGTATCAGGGTGATGTTGGCCTCCTAGAATGTGTTAGGAAGTGTTCCATCTCCCTCTATTTTTGGAATAGTTTGAGAAGGATAAGTATTAAGTCTTCTTTGAATGTTTGGTGAAATTCTCCAGAGAAGCCATCTGGTCCTGGGCTTTTGTTTTTTGGGAGGTTTTTGATTACTATTTCAATCTCTTTACTTGTGATTGGTCTGTTCACATTCTCTATTTCTTCTTGATTCCGTTTTGGGAGGTTTTTGAGTCTAAGAATTGATCCATTTCTTCTAGATTGTCCAATTTATTGGCATATAGTTTTTCATAGTATTCTCTTATAATCCTTTGTATTTCTGTGGTGGTCATTGTAATTTCTCCTCTTTTATTTGTTTGAGCCTTCTCTCTTTTTTTCTTAGTCTCACTACTGGTTTGTCAATTTTTTTTATTTTATCAAAGGACCTACTCTTGGTTTCATTGATCCTTTCTGCTGTTTTTGTTTTGTCTTGTTTCATTTTCATTTGTTTCTGCTCTGATTTTCATTATTTCCCTTCTTACGCTGATCTTGAGCTTTGTTTGTTCTTCTTTTTCTAATTCTGTTAGGTGTAATTTAAGGTTGCTTATTTGAGATTTTTCTTGTTTGTTAAGGTGGGCCTGTATTGCTGTGAGTTTCCCTCTCAGAACTAGTTTTAGCTGCATCCCATATGAGTTGGTATGGTATTTTTTCATTTTCGTTTGTCTCCAGATATTTTTTGATTTCTCCTTTAATTTCTTCAGTGATCTATTAGTTGTTCAGTAGCATGTTGTTTAGTCTCCACATCTTTGTCACTTTCCTGGTTTTTTCTTGTAGTTGATTTCTAGTTTCATAGCATTGTGGTCGGAAAAGATGCTTGTTATGATTTCAGTCTTCTTAAACTTATAGAGGCTTGCCTTGTTTTCCAATGTATGATCTGTCCTTGAGAATGTTCCATGTGCACTTGAGAAGAGTGTGTAATCTGTTTGGATGGAGTCCTCTATATATATCTATTACGTCCATCTCGTTTTTCATTTAGGTCCACTATTTCCTTATTGACTTTCTGTCTGGGTGATCTATCCATTGATGTAAGTGGGGTGTTAAGATCCCCTACATAATTGTGTTGTTGTTAATATCTCCTTTTAGGTTTGTTAATAGTTGCTTTATGTACTTTGGTGCTCCTATGTTGGGTGCATATATATTTATAAGTGATAGGTCTTCTTGGTGGAGTGTCCCTTTTATCATTATATATTGCCCCTCTTTGTCTCTCATTACCTGTTTTATCTTGAAGTCTACTTTGTCTGATATGAGTATGGCAACACCTGCTTTCTTTTGTTTGCCTTTAGCTTGGAGTATTGTCTGCTGTCCTTTCACTCTGAGCCCATGTTTGTCTTTAGAGCTGAGACGTGTTCCCTGGAGGCAGCATATTGTTGGATCTTGTTTTTTAATCCATCCTGCCACTCTGTGTCTTTGATTGGAGAATTCAATCCATTTCCATTTAGAGTAATTATTGATATATAAGGGCTTAATGCTGCTATTTTATCGCTCATTTTCCAGTTCTTCTGCATTTCCTTTGTTTCTCATCCCATGTGTTTCAGACTACCAATTCAGTTTGATGGTTTTCTTAGTTTTCTCTTTATTTATCATATGTGTCTCTCTTCTGATTATTTGTTTAGTGGTTACCATGAGGTTTGTATAAAAAAATCTCGTAGATGACATAGTCCATTTTCTGATGACCTCATTTCCTTAGACTAAGTTAGTTCCATCCCTTTCCTCTTCCCCTTCTAAGTTATTATTGTCACAACTTATTCCATCTTGTGTTGTGTGTGTTTAAAGTGATGAGGTTATATTTATTTTTGTTGTTTTCCTTCCCTTAATCTTTAAGGTTACAGTTAAGTGTTTGCTAACCTATTCTGATAGAGAGCTGCAATTTTCTTATTTTGTCTACCTGTTTTTCTCCTTGCTCAAAGCTTTGTATCCCCTTTCTCTTTTTTTTTTCAGGCATGAGGGCCTTCTTGAGCACTTCTTGTAGGGGGGTCTTGTGGCAATGAACTCCCTTGGCTTTTGTTTATCTGGGATAGTTATTATTTCTCCATCATATCTGAAGGATATTTTTGCTGGATAGAGTATTCTCGGCTGAAAGTTTTTGTCTTTTAGAATTTTGAATATATCATTCCAGTCTCTCCTAGCCTGTAAGGTTTCTGCCGAGAAATTGGCTGAGAGCTTGATAGCAATTCCTTTATACATTTTTTTTTTGTCTCGCTGGCCTTAATATTTTTTCTTTATCATTGACTCTTGCCAACTTTACTACTGTATGCCTTGGAGAGGGTCTTTTCATGTTGATATATTTAGGAGATCTGTTGATTTCATTCACTTGTATTTCCACCTCCTTCCCCAGGTTTGGGAAGTTCTCTGCAATTATTTCTTTGAACAAGCTCTCTGCTCCTTTTTCCCTCTCTTCTCTCTCTGGAATACCTATAATCCTTAGGTTGCATTTCTGAATTGAGTTGGCTATTTCTCGGAGAATTTCTTCATTTCTTTTTAGTCTTAGTTCTCTCTCCTCCTCCCTTGGGAGCATTTCTGTATTCCTATCCTCAGTGATGCTACTTCTTTCCTCCATATTGTCAGCTCTGTTCTTTAAAGATTCCAGATTTTTCTTTATCTCCTCCATTGTATTTTTCATCTCCAACATTTCTGATTGGTTTTTCTTTATAGTTTCAATCTCTTGTGAAGAAGTTCCTGATTTCATTGAACTATCTATCTGTATTTTCTTGTGGTTCAATTGAACTTTTTTATGATGGCTATTTTGAATTCTCTGTTTAAGTTATAAGTTTCTGTGCCTTCAGGATTGATTTCTGGGTGCTTGTCATTTTCCTTCTGGTCTGGAGATTTAATATATTTTTGCATCCTGCTTGAGGGCGTGGGCTCATTTTTCCTCATTCTGAAAATATCTGATGGCAGCTTCCTCCTGCAGCCATTAGGTGGTGGTCAGGAGCTGTGTATTCTGAGCCCACTGTGATCCACAGGCGCGCTGGCTGACTGGCTGTGCTCATGCTCTGGGCGGGAGGCGGCCTCTTTCTCTCGCCTGCCTGATCCCGGGGGCTTCTTGCTTTTCCCTCGCTATCTGCTCTCCTGGGGTGCTCGCTTGATGAAGGCACCTCTGCAACAGTTCAGACCCCTCCATGTGGGAGTTCCCACAGGCTGTGAAGGAACTTGGAGAGTGATGGTTTTCCCACGGAGGGCGCCCCTCCCCTCTCTCTCTCTCAGAGAGCTGCATGGTCCTTGTCCCAGCGTCGCTGTCACTGGGGAAGGAGAGGAGTTCTCCTTACCTCCTTCCTCTTCCTCTGGGGGGGTTCCAGCACCTCCACCTTCAGATGTAAGGCTGCGTGGGTCTCTCAGACGTCTTTTGTGTTGTGCGGATGTCCTCTGTTGATATATGAATGTCCTTTTCGTTGTATCTTACGGGGGAGAGTCTACAGGGAAAGCTCACTCTGCCATGATGCTGACGTTACTTCCAGATTAGTCAAGACCTATATTTTAAATAAGCCCACGTAAATAGTATAAAAATCTGTCCAGGGTTTTTCACATTACATGGTAAAAAACACATATAAACACTTAATTTAATTTTTGTTGTATTGTCAAGAACTTTAATTTTCAAGTGTCAGAAACCTGATCAAATGAGTTTAAACAAAAACAATAATATATTTGGTCACATAACTGGGAATTTTCAGAAATTACTTTTTAGATTTTTAGGCCTAGCAGGATCCAGCACTTCCTGTGTCCTGGGGATTCTTTCTTTCTGCCTTTTGACTCTGTTTACCTCTGGGTTGGCTTTGACTTTAGGCCCATGTGATGCTGAAGAGTTATCAGAAGCTTAAGCCTTATTTTTATTGTCTTCATGGTAATCCCAGAGAAATTAGCCCTCATTTCTCAGTTTTTCCAGCAAAAGTCCCAGGGTTAATGTTTGCCCTGTTTTGAGTCACATGCCCATGCCATCATTTTGGTGGGAGAATTGGAGTGATCTGATTGGCCAGGCCTGAATCATGCCCATGGGACTCCAAAAGAGTTGGCCTCTCTTGAGGTATAAAATAAGGGTGGAAAAGCGATGATTTCTGAATGAAAAGGAGGGCTTCTTTTACCAGAAGGGATGCAGTGCAGACAAAACATTTGATGTCCTCTCCGAAACTCTCTACAGTACTTTCCCGGCCAATTTTACATGTGGCACACAGCCTCTACTGTATCAGACCATTCTACACACCCTCAGTATCAGGGAAGAATCCATTAGTAGTTTTTGCTTGGTCTGGAACAAACGGATTGAAATTTAATTTTTGTTAATGTAGGTTCTATTGCTAGATGGTTTCTAGCTAGAATTTCTTTTTTTTTTATATAATTTTTTATTTATTTATTTTTTCCCCCAAAGTCCCAGTAGATAGTTGTATGTCATAGCTGCACGTCCTTCTAGTTGCTGTATGTGGGACGCGGCCTCAGCATGGCCGGAGAAGCGGTGCGTCAGTGTGCGCCTAGGATCGAACCCGGGCCGCCAGCAGCGGAGTGCACGCACTTAACCGCTAAGCCACGGGGCTGGCCCTCTAGCTAGAATTTCAATTGAGAATTTTCTTGGACGCTTTAATGATGATAAGTTCATTCTTTCCCTCTATTTCTTGAAAAGAAAGTACAAAAATTTTTGTGTATAGTACCTAAAATCTAAGTAGGATGCTTTATTGAAAATGAAATTATCCCTTTGGAGGGAATAGATGACTTAGAATTCAGATTTTCAACTAAAGAGTGAAATTTAAATATTAGGTGAAATTTAGTGTGTTCTAAGTGAACACACTAAAACTAAACCCATATTTTGGAGGTGTAGTGCTTTCAACACAGTTAATTGCCTCTTAGAGGATACTAGATTATAATCTCATGGTCCAAAAGAATTGATAGACCCAGTACAATTGCATGTTCAAGTCTGTGATGTTGACTTGCCATTGTGGACTTTGATTTTTAGAAAAACCTTTAAAATGCTGTTTGTTCACTCAAAGTCTGTTTTGAGAAGTCTTTGTCATCATTTAGTTTCAGACTTTCTTGTGCAGTGATTCTATAAGTTTGGATATTTCTTCTAAAAAGTTATTAATAAATTCCTTTAGTTACTGTAATAAAGTGCTTCTTCAGTCTAAGAGAAAGGTGAAACTGTTGAGAGTCTTACACAGCTGTTTACTAGATTTAATACTTGACTAGATCTGTTATTTAATGGATCAGTCTCACCTGTTCTTTGGTTTGAGGAAGAAATGCATTTAAGGTGCAGAAATAAACTTGGGGGATATTATTCAGCCATAAAAAGGAATGAAGTACTGTACATGGTACCACATAGATGAACCTTGAAAACATTATGCTGTGTGAAGGAAGCCAAACACAAAGGCCACATATTATATGATTCCATTTATTGGAAAGGTCCAGAATAGGCAAATCCATAGAGACAGATAATAGATTAGTGATTGCGGGGGGCTGAGGGGAAGGAAGTATGGGTTGTTTTTGGGGCAGTGAAAATCTTCTGGAATTTGATAGTGGTGATGGTTGCACAACATTGTGAATATACTAAATACTGAGTTGTACACTTTAAAATGGTTTAAGTGGTGAATTTTATCTAAAAAAACTTGGACCATATAAATTGACTCTTCTAATTGACTACTTAAGAGAATAAAAATACACTTGTATTAGTCAAATGAAAAAGAATTGCAATTTAATTAGAATTTCTCAGAGGGAAATTCTCTGTGATTTTATTTAAGGTAGTGTTTTTTTTTAACCAAATTTGTTCTAGAACTTTAGAACACTTACCAGTATCTGTAAATGTTTTCCCACCGTAGTTATCTATATCATTGTATTGTACAGGATAAGCCTGTATTTGTCACTCATAAATATACAGCCAGTTATAGTATTGAATGGCACAAAAAATTGCCATTTAATGTCTAAGTATATGATAAGTCTATATTAGAAGCTGTATTTTAGCTGTTCCAGTTCTGTCGTCCCCAATATTAGGGCAAGAGGGAGAGATGCACAATGTGGCAAGCTCCTCAACTATTTTCTAATTGCTAAACTGTAGACTATTTTTAAATGAAATAAAAATCGGGTGTTGCATGGTTTCTTCCTTTAGGCTCGATTTTATTCTCCAGCCACCATATTTATTGATGAGATAGATTCCATTTGTAGTCGCAGAGGGACTTCTGAAGAGCACGAAGCAAGCAGAAGGGTGAAGGCCGAGCTGCTGGTTCAAATGGATGGTATGCATGTACATTTGCATGAATTGACGTGGGGAGGCAGGTTGTGCAGTGTCTCCAGCTCCAGTGGATCAAGCTCTTCTCATAGTGCTCACCCACACAACTCAAGATGACTAGAGGGGGCTGGCAAGTAGGTCCTGGAGATTGATAGCAGTTCAATGGGTACTGACAGTGGTGACAGGCCAGAAATAATAACTATTAACAGAGCACCCTTTGGTGTATACACTGATCTCTTATTTTTAGCCATGAAATTGAAATAAATGCAGATAAATTGGCCTTAAGGATATATATGCTTTTGCAAATTGAAAAAAATTGGTATGTAGTTGAGCTGAGCTGGTCTTTGATTAAATCTATTTGAGTCATATTTTTGGCATACTACAAAAACTCACTTTTCTTAGACTACAAATTTATATAAGTTACCAATTAGCTTTATAAGTCTTAAGTAGGCTTGAAGATTGTATTACCTTGTAATGTGCTGAGTATTTGATGATCTTTAAGTAACTAATGTGACTTAATGTCTTTTTACTCTTTCCTTACCCTTCTTTTAGGTGTTGGAGGTGCTTCTGAAAATGATGACCCTTCCAAAATGGTCATGGTTCTGGCAGCTACTAATTTTCCCTGGGATATTGATGAGGCTTTAAGACGACGTCTTGAAAAAAGAATCTATATTCCATTACCGTCAGGTATCTTCATTTGAATCTTGTCAGAAAGCTCATGTTAACTATTAGGTAGTTTTACATAGAGATTTGAAAATTTGGTATTAACTTTTTTTTTTTTTTTATGATTTTATTTATTTATTTTTTCCCCCCAAAGCCCCAGTAGATAGTTGTATGTCATAGCTGCACATCCTTCTAGTTGCTGTATGTGGGACGTGGCCTCAGCATGGCCGGAGAAGCGGTGTGTCGGTGCGCGCCCGGGATTGAACCCGGGCCGCCAGCAGCGGAGCTCACGCACTTAACCGCTAAGCCACGGGGCCGGCCCCATTAACTTTCCTTTAAGAGACAAATGTAGGATGTGTTTATATTAACTGGCTTGGCTATATCTAGAACCTGAAAGCCTTGATACTAAGAAATTTAAAATTCAGTAAAGAATGGCTCTTAAATTTTTAAGCAAATGAGGTCTAAGAATTGGAAAACAATTTCTCACACAAAAAATAATACACTGGGGCTGGCCCAGTGGCATGGTCTGCTTTGGCAGCCTGGGTTCGTGGGTTCGGATCTCAGGCTTGGACCTACACACCACTTACCAAGCCATGCTGTGGCGGCATCCCATATACAAAATACAGGAGGATGGGCACAGATGTTAGCTCAGGGACAATCTTCCTCACACAAAAAAATAATAATAATACTGTTTATCTTGAAAGGTTACATTTTTACATTTGTCTCTACCATTAGCAAAAGGCAGGGAGGAGCTGTTACGAATAAGTCTGCGTGAGCTGGAATTGGCTGATGACGTTGACCTTGCAAGTATAGCAGAAAACATGGAAGGTTATTCAGGTGCGGACATTACCAACGTGTGCAGGTATGAATTAATTTGGAAGGATAGGTTTTTGTGGGTATAAACTTCTATTGTGAAGTGTTTATGCTGGATTAAGACAGATGAAGAAGAAAGACTCCCATTATAGTCTGTAGTCAGAGACATATATTTTGGTATTAAGTTAGTGTTAGCAGGTGCTGGTAAAATATTTGGGTATCTTGCATGTTAGTGAAGAGTGCAGTTCATTTGAAAGCCACATGTGTAAGAAGCTAATGTTAGAACAATTGGTGTAAAACAAAAAATCAGTAATTGTCTTGGGTTAAAATAATTGTTGGTCCATTTGTTCAATATACTGTTATGTAGGAAATACAATTGTGAAATAGATTTGGCATACCCGAGGAGAGTACAGTCTCATTTTCAGTGAAAGTGTCCTGAACGTGACAGAACAGCAGTAAAAAGAAAAATGACTGTCTCTAATCCAGCTGATTCAAGTAGGTTTTGTCCTCTTCTGAGTACTAACTTGGATCTTATTAGCAAGGTGCTTGACGGCACTAGTTTCCTCATCTCTAAAGTCAGCACGTCACGCAGGGTGGTTGTGAGGATTCATGATAACTGTGTGTGTAGATAAAGCAGCTCTGTGTTGCTGGCCTTTGCATAAATGGTGGCTGCTGTTAAGGATGAAACTGGGTGAAGGGGAAAAGGTACTTGCATCTGAAGTTTCTCCTTTTTTTTTTTTTTTTT